ATAATAATGTATTTTTCAGAATCATTTCCATTAAAATCCATTGGTCTACTTTCCATTTTGAGTGGAACTTTTACCCATGAACAATTTTGTAACATTGTGGATTGGTTACTTGTGAAATACTGGTTCACTGCATTATGCAGATCCTCCAACTGTTGATACATTTCATTATACATTAAACAAGAATTACATTCCTTAATATCACCACTGATATCATTAGGAAACTCTTTGAATATTGGAAAACTGTCAAGTTCAGATGCCAGATGCAATGGTCCAAATTTCTTCTTGAAAGCTCAAGTGTTATAAATTTTCTTACTTCATTTATTTTTGAAAAAATACCTGCCAAATACCCAGGCTAAATACCCATAGTTCGTCAATTGTCTTCTTGTAAAACTGGGATGCGCCCCCCACACACACACACAAAAGGCAGCTAGTTCGTCTTGTAACTCGAACAAATGCACAAGTACTTTCCCCTGAGCCAACCAGTGTATTTCATATACAGCAGAAAAGACTTATGCATGTGAAGGAAGAAAAAGCATAAATGTTAACATGTAGGATGCTAGAGTAAATATTACATTTGATTTTGAGTCACTGAAACAAGAGCAAGAGGGGAAGAGGGATGAGCTCCATTGCTCATATTCACAGAAAAGAGGAGGCAGACAGGAAAGACGTATATTGCTTGATACTGAATTCTAAAATAACTTCTCAGCCCAGGACGTCACATGTTGTACACTGACCCCTCTGCTGCCCCTGTGCACCTGGGACTCCCCTCTGCTCCAGGCAGTCACTGGGTGGAACACAATCAGAGCTGAAATGGGGACAGAGTGGGGCTGGCGGTAGTGACAGATTTTTTTTTNGCCTAGACCTTGGGAGACTGAGCACTTGCAGAATTCTTCCAAGAGAAACAGAAACCTACTTTTTTCTCCAGGCCCCGCAGGCCTTATTGAGCTCCATGATACCCAAGGGCAAAGTTAAAAATTTATTAGTGTGGGGTTTGTGATTCAGAGAAAATTTGTTTCAAACTCATATATGTAGAATCCTTAAACTTGATAGAAACAAAGTTAATCCCACAGTTCTCAAACTTTTTAGTTTTAATTCTCAGTTTTAATTTACAATACTGTAAATATTAATAGATATAACCCACTTAAACTAAAGTTCTTTGGGGTCCTCAATAATTTGTAGAAATGTAAAAAGATCCTGAGACCAAAAGGCTACACTCTTAGAAATTAAAACGGAGATCATTTTTAAATACTTACTTTTAATTCATTTAAAACAACAAAAATAAACACATACATGTTAATGTAAAAACACTATTATTAAAAATAACCATATTTTCAAGTTTAAAAATAGCATTATTTGTACTGTTTTACATTTTTGTGAATCTCTTTAGCGTCTGGCTTAATTGAAGACAGCTGATCCTCATATCTGCTTCTGCATTAACCTGTTCTGATATATTGCTTTGGTTGATATATATGAAAATAATCCAATTTCACACTGACATGTAGTTGGGAAAAAAGGGAATATTTTAATAACCTTTATATAAAATTGTGGATATTCTTCTTTGATATCACGCCAAATTTGGCAAGTAGTAGTTTCTTAAATGTTGTTACAATGTAGAAACTGAAATCATAATAATGTATTTTTCAGAATCATTTCCATTAAAATCCATTGGTCTACTTTCCATTTTGANGGCGCCCGGGGCGCCTGCGCTACCACGTGCTCAGCCTGGCGCTCGCGGCCCTGCTGCTGCTGCTGGTCAGCGTGCCCATGGAGCTCTACAACTTCGTGTGGTTCCACTACCCCTGGGTCTTCGGCGACCTGGGCTGCCGCGGCTACTACTTGGTGCGCGAGCTGTGCGCCTACGCCACGGTGCTGAGCGTGGCCAGCCTGAGNCCCAGTAAAGAAAAAGGGGTTCTTGGGGTGAGGTGAGAAGCCTCTAGGCCCTGCAGCTCTGAAGTTCTGGTGTTCTACATGAGTTTAGAAAAGAGACAAGCGAAAGGTTTTAAGACATGGTAAATACACTTTTCACTTTCTCCTACTGCTCCATGAGAATGCCAGCTCAAAGGACAGGGAAGGCCTGAGACCGTGAGCATGTATCTGCCAAGGCAATGCAGTGCCCTGAGGCTATTAGTGCAGCATTGAAACAGCCCTTTAGCAAGAACCTTGACATCTGCAAAATGTCAAAGCACCGACAAAGTCCTTCCTAAATCGTCTCTGGGACGCACACTCAGATAACAGCAGCACACAAGCCTAGGCACATGACACAAGCTCTGGACAGGCATGTTGCAGGTCAGGAACTTTCACACAGATTCTCTCATTTAATCTTCACAGAAATTCTGCAGTGTAGGTGATATTTTTAAGTTGCAAAACTAGGTCCAGAGAGGTTAAAAAACCTGGCTAAGGTCACACAGCTGGTCAGTGGTGGAGTCCCTTCCAACTCATAGCTGTTGACCCCCAAAAGAGCCCACTTTGCACCAGCACGTGCTTCCCTGGATTGAATTGAAGCGAGACGTGTGGACGTCGCTCACAGGCTTGCACTCGCGGTCCGGAGTTTGCTCAGGGACACCCTTCTGGGGGCGTGTTCTCCCAGTTCTGGAGGCTCCCAGAGAGGAGGAGGCTCTCGCTGAGCGGGCAGCTCGCCCAGTCTGCGGGCAGTGAGAGGGAGGGAGCGCAGGCCGCGGGAGCGGGATGGAGCCCAGCAGCCCGCGGCCCCCGAGGCCCAGCCCCAGCCCGGGGCTGAGCCTGGACGCCCGGCTGGGCGTGGACACGCGCCTGTGGGCCAAGGTGCTGTTCACGGCGCTCTACGCGCTCATCGTGGCGCTGGGCGCGGCGGGCAATGCGCTGTCCGTGCGCGTGGTGCTGAAGGC